AGGTAGAATGCACTCCCTATCAAAACCAAGTGGACGGTTGGAAAGAGCATCCTCAAATTGAGCTTCCCATCACTTGATTTTGCCATTGTCCAAGTTTTGGTTCAGGAGTTATGTCTGCCGTAAGATTAGGCCGTGAATTTGAGCTGAAGGAATGAAATTACTGTTTATTTTGGTGAAATTGAGCTGTAGGAATGAAGTTACTGTTTATTTTGGTGAAATTGAGCTGTCAGCCAATCCCTGCAAGACTGCTGTAAGACTCGAGTGAATGAAAATACTGTTTATTTTGGTGAATTTGAGCTGCCGTAATAGGAGCCTGTGCTGAAATTACYGTTTATTTTGGTCAAGTGAAGCTGCCGTAAGACTGGAGTGAATGAAAATACTGTTTATTTTGGTGAATTTGAGCTGCCGTACTGGAGTGAGCAAGCGAACACCCGTGTAAAATAAGTTGGCCATACTGGTCAACTTATTTTCTGTAATTTTAAGACTGGAGTGAGCGAGTGAATGCACGTGTAAAATAAGTTGGCCATCATATTGGTCGACTTCTTTTCTGTAATTTAAGACTGGAGTGAGTGAGCGAACACCCGTGTAAAATAAGTTGACCATATTGGTCCACTTATTTGCTGAGCGGATCCCTGTAAGACTGGAGCTGGCTGTATTTAAGACTGGAGTGAGCNACTGGAGCTGGCTGTATTTAAGACTGGAGTGAGCGAGCGAACGACCGTGTAAAATAAGTTGGCCATATTGGTCCACTTATTTGTTGAGCGGATCCATTGGAAGTATTCTCTCGTGGAATTAGAGCCCAAGCAAGCGGTATAATCTGACCAAACGATGTCTTCGTAACAAGCACAAAACAGACACCATCGTAAGTTGGTTCTTTGAAATGATAGCAATCGCTAACAAAAACAGGTGCCGTTAAGGTGCCAAAAAATTTGGGTGAGGCGATGGGTGCTGCAACGAAACACCGGAAGAAGCGATTGGAAGAGTCAGCCTGGAGCACAACAGTCATCAATGGGTTGGTCTCCGCTAATGCTTGCAAAGAATAAGACAAGGTCCGATAGTGCTGAGGAAGATTGTGTATTTGAATATACTTGTAACAAACAGTTCGGACATTTCCAAATTGAACGGCAATAATGCCAGACAGACTTGTTTGAATACCATTGATTTTAGAATTCAAGCCAACATTGAACTGTTCAAAGGAATTATCCCATGGACTCTTTGATCTATCAAGATGAACCCTCATTTCTTCCACGTACTTCCTGAATTTGTCATTATTAAAAATATCAAGCTGGTACATTGGATGAATAATACGGTCAGGGTATTTGACDGCAAGAGCTGCTGCGTCTTGGATTACAACTTGTGCAAGGTCCTGCATGAACAGTAGGAAGCATCGTGCTGTTGCACAAGAAGCATTATTTGCTTTATTTGCATCAAACTTTTTCCTTGTCTGTTGGAGCCAAGGGAAAACGGCATCGGCAAGGTCTTGAGGTACGGAGARCCCTATTCTTGGATTCCAATTGATGTGTCTCTTCAGATGTGCCTTGCTACGGATAATTGCTAGAGGAATCTTTGTGGAATRCCGTGTCTCCTGTACATTTAGACCCCAGTTGCCAAGATTACTGATTTCTTCTCTAGGGTCCTCATTGAGCTCACATTCATAGGCACCCAAAACACGACCCATGTGAACAAAATGTGCTGTTGGTATTCCTTCTTTTTTGCAGATTTTTTTTACAGCAGCTGCATACGTTTTGTCATTCATACATTTTGTATTATCTTCAGTGTTGAATGCTGTTAACAACTTGATATTGAACCAGGCACTGTTGTTGGAAAAATCAATGTCGTCCATTTCATGGCTGTAGTGAAACYGGTACATTAGGTAGAAGCCTAATGCTCCAACAGGACACTGATTCACATCAAAATTTCTTGCCATTCTCCCATAGAGCTTGAATCCATGATTTACCTTCCCTGTTGCAAACTGCATTTTCATTACAAATAAAGAGTGTGGATTGTCTTCCTTTTGAACAAGAACTCGGAAAACATCAGATAGTTCTGCCTTAAACAATGTCTCACCACGTAACAAACCGCACATTGTGGAAAGGAATGTGAACCGGTCCCGGAGATTTGACTGGATAACTTTTTTTCCGGATGACATTTCAATGCCATTGGTGAAGAATGAATTCTCTATGGCATCTATATGTTGAAATGCATCCATTGGTGCTGAATTATTGTCCATCTTTTCTTTGTAGTTTTTCCGATCCATTCGTGGCTGACGTCCTTTTACATGGTTCATAATTTGAGATATTTTCAAGCCAAATGATTTTGCCCCTTTATTTTCCGTCCTCTTTTTTCTGCTCCCGGAAGGAAACCTAGAGCATAAATTGTTTTACCTTGTCTTGGTCGACGGTGCATCTTTTTTCAATTCTCATTCCACTATAGACGGTGTCGCAAAAAAGACGGAACTCGTCTTTCTTTGCTTCATAGGATTTAGGTGTGTTCTTCATTCTCCCATGCTCATCAAAATTTGTCTCATCAATCATGGATTCTATTCCGTGATTGACTTGTGTGTTATCCATTGTTTGGATTGTTGCATGCCCAAAGACCATTGCGGCAGACGGAGAAGAATCATTTTCCCATTCCGCCTGTGCYGGTGCAGGGTCATTCTCCTGTTGCTTTCGTCTTGGAAGATTCTCAGTAAAGGAATCAAATAGGTCAACTAGAGTATCAAGAGGATTTTCTGTTGTATTTTCCATTGCAATTGGTGCTTGCTGTATTGTTTTTTTAGGCAGACGATGTTACGGTTGGTGTAAAAGGAGGAGTTTGTTTCATGACGGCACCAGTTGTAATATTTGGTCCAGCAGATACTGCTTCTTCTGCTGGTGTGAGTGGGGAGGGGGGGCACAATTTTTGTCGTGGAAGCAAGAAACTGATCTGATTGGAGATGTTCAGTGCAACCATGACGTCACGGTACAAAAATAACCCAAAAATAACCAGTGTTTTTTTTACAACATTAGGGTTATTTTTATGCCAGGACTGCAGGACCATATGTGTACGGACCACCRTGTGGTCCTGTCGTGGTCCTTGGAATAGATAATTTGTGTGATTTTTACACGTACGTTGTGAGCATGAAGCAACAAGTACTCGCAGTTGTACGTACTGGTACATTTTCCTAAATTGCCATAACACCCCTGGGTTCCCCCAAGGGGGAACTCCCCGTGTTAACATATTGGAAAACCCGACATTGGACACAACCAACTTCGTTTTAGGTGGACCGGGAAAGCGCTAAACCACTTAGCCGTAATCAAGCTCTGCTTGTAAGTTTATCTGATAAGGGTACATAAGTACCCTACTCTACCATAGCGTCCGTCTGGATTCTGCATAGAACTTTGTAGTTTGTAGTACGAGTATTAGTTCGTAACCGTTGAGCAGCTCAACATTTCCATGTACTCAGCTCGCGTGGTATTTTCTAGGTACACGACTTGTTGAGTAGAACACGCCGTACAAACACTAGTTATTTTTTGCCTAAGTACATGCACCTCAACTGGTTACAAACCGCGCGGACTGAATTTTGTAACCAGAATTTGTAACCAAACCCTTCCCTAAGGAGAGCCCATATTTTTTACACGATACTACTGTTAGTCTGGTTACAGAAAAATGGGGTATGGTTACAAAAACAGGCGCACTGGTTTGCACTGCGCGCTTGTAACCAGGCAAATGCACCTCGACAGGTACAAAGTAAAAAACTGTCTTCACTAAATACTCTACGTAGTACTATCAGTACAAGTAGTACACAGTACAGTATCTTGTACGAGGAGTAATAAAAAAATATGAGCAGTTTTCAGTGAAAACTGATCTTGATTGCTATTCCAGTACAAACTCATGTAGAAAACACCGTAGAAATATTGATTTGCAGAGTGAAACAAGCAAAACACAAAAAAGCAACACCAGCAGCAGTAACGTATCGTATGAGCAACTCGTATCGTAGTATTAGGGGCTCGCTCCTCCTCCTCCGTATCGTACTATCACCAGCGGCTCCTCTGTATCAGTGACTTGTCGTATCAGCATCCTCAGTATCAGTGAGTGTCCTCCGTATCAGCAACGCCGTATCAGTGGCTCCTCTGTATCGTATCAGCGGCTCCTCCTCCGTATCGTATCAGCGTCTCGTATCAGCATCCTCAGTATCAGCATCCTCTGTATCAGCGACGCTACGTATCAGCGATGCTCGTCCGTATCAGCGACGCAGTGATTGGCTGAGTACATGGAAATGTTGAGCTGCTCAACGGTTACGTAAATAACTGTGGAAGAGCTCTGCTTTCAGCGCTACAAGTACTATGATCTTCAACACCAACAAGCTCGAGAGCTTTAGCTCGAGAGCTTGTTGGTGTTGAAGATAATACTTGCAGTAACCTCACTTCGATCTTGAGCCAAAGCTCTCGATCTCAGTGATGTTACTGGTGTACCAAAATCATATCAGAAAATGTACTCTGTTGAGGTCCGTGTTATTTGTGTGGGAAGAGTTTTGTACTGTGCGCTCTCGAGCTAAGAAAGCTCTCAAGCGGACAGTACAAAACTCTTCCCACACAAATACATTTTCTGGTAAGCTCTCGATCTCAGTGATGTTACTGGTGTACCCAAATCGTACCAGAAAATGTACTCTGTTGAGGTCCGTGTTATTTGTGTGGGAAGAGTTTTGTACTGTGCGCTCTCAAGTTCTCAAGCGCACAGTACAAAACTCTTCCCACACAAATAACACGGACCTCAACAGAGTACATTTTCTGGTACGATTTGGGTACACGCGCTGCGCGAGCTCCTCCACAGTTATATTACATACTTACCGTAGTACAGTACCACTGTACATACGTAGATTCGTAGATAAAATAGCTTTCCTGTATCGGCAGTACGGTTTTCTATGCCGTCGCCTACTATGTACGATACGTTACGGTAGGGAGCCGTGCTGTAGCCCTTGTTATCCCTCGCCTCGCCTGCCTTGGTTTTTGCTTTTCCACCCGCTTGTGGATGGAAAGAAAGAACTCGGCAAAGCAACATCTCACCGGCACGGCACGGTAMGGTAGGTTGTCACGATCCTTCCTGCCTTGGATCMTCGCTTCGTTCCACTCGGGTTTGTTCCGCTTCCACKGCAGCCGTTGGGCAGTAGCGCACAACACGGACGCACAGGCTCGAATCGGCGCCACACAACATTACATTACACAACACAACACAACACAACACACACGCCATGTCCCCCGGCGAAAACAAAYCTCCCCACGCCGCAACAGMAACAGCAACAGCTACCACCGGGMTCGATCCGGGCCTCCTGGAGGGACTGACCGAGGCCCAGAAACAAGAGGCCCTGGCTGCGGCTTCCGCCGCAAAGCGGGCGGAGGAACGCGCCGAGCGGCGGGCCCTGGAGAGGGCGATCGAGCGGCGGCGGCTGGAGCGCCTGGGGGAGGCGTCCGGAGGCAGCAACAGCAGCAGCAACAGCAATAAGAACAAGAACAAGAACAACGGAGCAGCTCCGGCGCCAAACCCGAAACCCCACGGGGGAACCGCCGGCACCGGCCCCCTCGCGGGCCGCGTGCGGTTCGTTTCCAARCGGCAGCGGGCCGCGCAAAAGGAAGCGGGCGAGAGGCCTCCCAAGCAGTCCAGGAACCCGGGGCCACCCCAACCRGCAAGCAGCGGCAGCAATCGAAAGAACARCAACAACAACAACAACAACAACAATAGCGGCGGCGGCGGCGTCTCCTGGACGGACCGGGACCGGCGGGCCGTCCGCGACACCTACCTGGGGGGATCCAAGGCGGTGAACATGACCCACGAGGAATTCGACGAGCAGAGGAGGCTCCTGAAAAAGAAGCACCAGAAGAAGAGCAAGACCGGCAAGAAGACGAACTTTCGCTTCGAGTGGGACGACACCGACGACACCCTGCGGGCGGACGATCCCCTCTACAACGGGCCCTCCCTCGGCCGCGGAGCGGTCCGTCCCGATCGCTCCGGCCGAAGCAGCGGGGACCGGAACGCAAGGGGCGGACGCTCGGCCATCGAGACCAAGCCGCGGGAAAGCATGACCTCCCGCGACTGGAGGATCTTCCGGGAAAACCACAACATCGTCTGCAAGGGCGGCAGGGCGCCCCCCCCGCTGCGGAGCTTCCGCGACGGGGGCGTGCTCCACCCCTCCCTGGTCGAGGTCCTGTACGGGCCCATGGGCTACCGGGACCCGACCCCCATCCAGATGCAGGCCATTCCCATCGGCCTGCAGMGGAGGGACCTCATCGGGATCGCCGAGACGGGGTCGGGAAAGACGGCGGCCTTTGGGATCCCCCTGGTCCAGTAYCTCTTGCAGCTGCCGGGGGCCCTCACCTCCCGGGAGCGCGTGGCGGAGTTTGGCCCGCTGGCGATGGTCCTGGCGCCGACCCGGGAGCTGGCCCTGCAGATCGACGGCGAGTTCCGCAAGCTCCTGCAGTTCTCCTTTGGGAACGGCGGAAGCGGCCGGAGGGACCAGCGCGGAAGCAACCACAACAGCAACCACAACAGCAACCCCATCGTCTGCTGCTCGATCGTGGGGGGACAAAACATGACGGCCCAGGCCCAGCGGCTCCGGGACGGCGTCCACGTGGTGGTGGGAACCCCCGGGCGGATCAACGACTGCCTCGAGATGGCCTACATGGTTCTCAACCAGTGCCTCTACACGGTGTTGGACGAGGGCGACCAGATGATCAACATGGGCTTTGCCCCGCAGGTCGAGTCGATCCTCGACCACATGGGCGGATCGCTCAAGTCGGAGGACGAGAACGAGGCCTACCGGCAGGAGCTGGCCGACCTGGAGCGGCTCAAGACCCTGGCCGGGAAGGCGTCCCGGGCCTCGCAGGAGCTCCCAAAGCACCGGGTGACGGCCATGTTCACGGCCACCATGCCCCAGGAGGTCGAGCGCATGGCCAAGCGGTACCTCCGCCACCCGGCGGTGGTCAGCATCGGGGACCGCGAGACCCGGAACAACGCCCGGATCGTCCAGAAGATCGTCTTTTTGTCGAGCCCCTCCCAGAAGGAGGAGGCCCTCCGCAGGCTGGTCCTGGACCCCCGCTTCCTCCGCGAGAAGGTCATTGTCTTTGTCAACGAGAAGAAGCACGCCGACGGGATCGGCCGGGCCGTCGAGCGCTTCGGCCGCCGCTGCGTGGTCCTCCACGGGGGCAAGAACCAGGACGAGCGCGAGCACAACCTGGGCCTCTTCCGGCAGGGAGGGGTCGTCCTGGTGGCGACGGACGTGGCCGGCCGCGGCCTGGACATCCCGGACGTTGCCCACGTCATCAACTACGACCTGCCGACCCGGAGCATCGAGACCTACACCCACCGGGTGGGCCGGACCGGYCGGGCCGGGAAGGAGGGCCTGGCGACCTCGCTGCTGACGGAGGAGGACCAGGGGATCATGGGCCCRCTGAGGACCTACCTGGAGAACACCGGGAGCGAGGTCCCGCAGCGGCTGGCGAGGCACCCGGCGGCCCAGTCGGGGGAGGCTTCCGGGGGGAACCTCATCTACTGATGCTTCCTCCTGCTCGTGTTGTGGGAAGGCCTGGTTTCGCAACCACCACCACCGGGCCTTGGAAGCGCAGATTTGCGAGATTCACGAGGCTAGTGTTTCCAAACAATCCTACCKCAAAAACATAGATTCACTAGATTAGCAAAGTTTCTTTTCCTACTCGATGAGAAAACCAAAGAGCTATGCTTTGCCGAAAATCGTTCTTGCCGACCGTTGTAGAATTACGTTTGTCAAGCAGATGGAGGCCGTAAAGCATGATCTAATCCTTATACAAGGCCACCGACCGTGATCCAGGCAGCGGASCCGGCCGCACGATGTATTTTTAGTTGTTACTATTTCCTTGTGTACTTGTCGACTACGTTACTGCAAAGTCCGCTCTGCATGACTAGGGGTTTATTTTCCCCTATCCAATTTCCCTCATTCCCTCTAGTTTTTCCCCAATTCCTTGAAAAACCTCAAGAATTATTTTCAATGTATTTTCACGACAAAATTCGTTGCAACCAACCGATGGGGAACACAGCTGGGGAAAGAGAGATCCAATTCTTACACGAGGCCGCCGACCGTGATCCAGGCAGCGGASCCGGCCGCACGATGTATTTTTAGTTGTTACTATTTCCTTGTGWACTTGTCGACTACGTTACTGCAAAGTCCGCTCTGCATGACTAGGGGTTTATTTTCCCCTATCCAATTTCCCTCATTCCCTCTAGTTTTTCCCCAATTCCTTGAAAAACCTCAAGAATTATTTTCAATGTATTTTCACGACAAAATTCGTTGCAACCAACCGATGGGGAACACAGCTGGGGAAAGAGAGATCCAATTCTTACACGAGGCCGCCGACCGTGATCCAGGCAGCGGASCCGGCCGCACGATGTATTTTTAGTTGTTACTATTTCCTTGTGCACTTGTCGACTACGTTACTGCGAAGTCCGCTCTGGATGACTAGGGGTTTATTTTCCCCTATCCAATTTCACTCATTCCCTCTAGTTTTTCCCCAATTCCTTGAAAAACCTGAAGAATTATTTTCAATGTATTTTCACGACAAAATTCGTTGCAACCAACCGATGGGGAACACAGCTGGGGAAAGAGAGATTCAATTCTTACACGAGGCCGCCGACCGTGATCCAGGCAGCGGAACCGGCCGCAGCGACGAGGAGGACCACCGGGCGGAAGGCCGAAGGGGACGCCGAGGAATCCCCGGTGGATTCCACCGGAGCGCTGGTCKCGGCCGGTGGCGGTGGAGCGACTGGCTTTTCGTCGCTGCAGTCGCCGATGTCGTCCAGGGACAGGGTGTCGCCGTTGATCGTGATGGTCGAGAGCTCCGAGTCCGAGTCCACGCTGCCGCCCGAAACGGATCCGAAGCAGATCTCGTATTCGCCGAGCGACGACGAGTCCACGCTGCAGACAGACGGAACCAAAGTTGTGTTTTCGGGGGGACGAAGCGGCGGCGAACGGTTTGAGAMACAAAACACGCAAGGGGTTTTTCGGTGGAAAATCCTGCGCCGTGTCGMAATGCGCTGTTCGCCGTGCTTACCTATCAAAGTCGYTGATGTATCCGGGGCAGCTKCCGGTAGTTTTGCTGRAAGGCGATGGCGAAAAACGAGACGATACGAGAGAAACGAAGCACCAGAAGAAGAGTGTMAGGAAGATTTGAAACGGCCCAACCATCGTTGGACGGCATCGATTGTCCTGACCCCTGTCAATCTTTYACTTACCAAACACACGATTCCGTTGTGCAGAGGTCGTTGGCAGCGACCGCAGAGACGAAAAGAAGGCCAAAGAAAGATAGAGACGAGACGAGTTTCATGGTGAACGGAAGTGATTGTTGCTATCTCTGGTCAAAAAGAATGAACTTGCCCCAGGGGAGGATCAGAAAAGATTTTTGCTTCAAGCGAACACTACCTTACGAGGGGGGGAAACGCGATGATGCGGTGGGTGTTCTCCGCATTCATGATTGGGTAGGGTACAGGTATGCTGCTGTTCCCAGTTGCACAGAGAACATCAAAAATGTTACGAAAGAAAACGTAGGTTAGTATTGTTGTGTCCACTTGGACTCRAGAAGTAAAAAATATCGATCGAGAACCATGTCAAACTTTTCATGATCGGAATGTTCTGCGAAAACCTGCGTGGCCTAAGAGTAAAATATGGCATCGGAAGAGCGAAATCAAGGCGCGCGCGTGTCCTTCGGATTTTTTGTGCCCGTTCTCATTACGGGAAATGCATGGTGGTGGTTTACTACAGCGCTTGATTCGGATGAAAAAATACTTCTATTTCGTACTAATTTTTAACCAGCTTTCGATTTCGTAGCTCGTGTGGTACGAGTGTCCTCTGTGATTCCAAGCAACCCGTGGCTCGGTTTGCTAAACACTCAGGGAAGCCACTGTTGGCAAAGCCAGGGCTATCCTTATGGTGGCATCGGCATCGCAAAACGTGGTTCTCTTTCCRAGAACGAGGCATTGGCTCACGGACTTGCGAGCAACTCAGAAGTGTACAGAAAAAAATCAAACCTAGAATCAACAATTGTCTCCGATTGCCCACCAACCAGTACCGTTCCGTGGGTYGTCTCCTAGCAGCTTGGCGTTGTGCTTTTGGAAAAAAAATTCATTCGGTTGGAATTGGCTCGCGCCGTTGTCTTCCGTTGTTCATGCCTGGCTTGGTGCCACCGCCTCCCAGCACGAGAGTTTGGTGGATCGGCCTTCGTCCCAGCCCTTTTGCTCGTACCTCGAGATCGCTGGCAACCACCCCATTCGATCGGGGCAGGGTTCGACCGGCCGAAAGAGGGGTCCGCGCTGCCGCTGGGGATCGTCGGCGCCGCCGTCACCGTTGTTGTTGTTGTTGTTGTTGTTTGCCTCGGCCATCGTCTTGTGGCACCATTCGTGGTATCCGTCGTGATCGGTGGCCAGGAACAACCTGCCGTGGCTGCTGCCACCGCTGTCGCGGTTTCGCAGCAGCCGGTGGCACTCGACCAAAGTCTGCTGCTGGACCAGGCGGTAGTCAACGTCGGATTCCTTCGGGAAGGGATCCGGAAAGGTAATCAGAATTGCCGACAGACTCCCGTCGGGGATCTTCGGAAGCAGCTTGTAGCCGTCCCCGGYGTGGATCCGCAGTCGATCCCCGTAGTAGCGACCAAGGCGTTCGGTCGGGGAGGAACCACCGCGGCATTCGGTTGTGATCGGTTCCTCCTCGGTTGGTGGGTTGTCGTTTTCTCTGGTAGCGTGGTGGTTGGTACCCGTTTCATTCTGGCTCGGTTCCGAATATGGATCCAGTTCCGGACGATAAAGGACGTAGTCGTCGCTCTCCCCGGCGTTCCCGGATCGGTTTGGTTCCGGTGGAGATTGCTGTTGCTGTTGCTGTTGTCGCAGCCGATCGATGCGCTTGCACAGGCACCCGATTCCGACACCGCTGACCTCCGCCCCGACGAGGCAAAAGCGGGTGGGTGTTTGCGGGCGTGCATCTTCTTTGGCGGCAGMMGCTGCTGCTTCCCTACGGAACCTGGATTCCAGCAGGGCCTGGAGGTTTTCCCCACGGCCAAAGCCCAGCTCGAGCCAAATCTCCCTCGTCCCGCTCGCGGATTCCGGCTGAGCCGGAAATACGCTGTCCCAGTCTAGTGTGGACCCGTAGGGCACTGCCGGCAGACGCATCCCCCCTTCTTTTAGTTGTGGCCGTGGTACTTCTTGCTGATGCTGCCCTTCCGTATCCTTGTTGTTGTTGCTGCTGCTGCTGCTGCCGTTCCCGTCGTGCCCGTCCAGGACCCGGCGCATGGCTTTTTTCTGAGATTTGGTGGCATCCCGACCGTTGTTTCCCAGTCGATTCCACCATTTTGGTTTCTTGGGATTGTAAACTGCGGCCTTTGGTTTGGTCGCAGTTGGTATTGGTATTGGCATCGGCATTGCCACCGGCGCTGTCGTTGGGCACGTAGCTGCGGCTGCGGTGGCACCGGTATTGCTTCCGTCGTCATCGATAGTTGTGGAAGTCACGTCGTCATTTTGGGAAGCAGCTACCATTGGAGACGCTTCCGTCGATTTTCGTTTGGTTGTTGGTGTTGGTGGTGGTGGTGTTGCTCTAGCTGTCATGTCAAAATCGCTCTTGGAACTCCGCCCTCGATGGGATTCGTTCTTGCCCGCCATTTCTGTCGGTCCGTTTTGTTTATTTGTTTCACCCCCTTCGTTTCGATGGGCGTCGAGAATGTTTTCGGGACAACCGTGTTTGAAGCGAAATACGCACGACTGACGGACGATGCAAAATTTTACTGTAGGATCCGAATGGTTTGCGCGCGCTGCGTCCGGGTGAAACGGTTGGATCGCCAAGATCGCGGCATKTTYTTTTCCAGATCTCCCTCCGACGAAGACCCAAGGCAGTCTAGAAGAGAATACGTTGTGGAACTCGTACCCAACGAACTGCCTGCCGCAGAGCAAGCTCCTGCTTGCTTCCTTTAATTCTAAAAGTTCTTCCGGATTCTGCATTCTTMAKAATMCTTTCGCTTTCACCTCGACCAGTAAAACCAATCCAATCGGTCTCGAACAAGTACCTTTCGAAACAGACACCATGGCGGAAACGAGCAACGACCTCTCTGCCGCCACCGACAAGATCAAGAACTTTTGCACCAACAAGATCGACGACGCAAACTACTACGTCGAAAAAAAGAAGAAACAATTCGAGATCTCCGAKGCCAAGGGCGGGCTGGATCGCACAAAGGCCGACACCAAGAACTGGATCGACCGGCAAACGCGCGAGCTGGGTGGCCTACGGGACAAGACGAGGGAGGGCCTCGACAAGGCGGCCAAGGACCTGGGATTCGCCGCGGAAAGCAACGAAAACCAAAACCAAAACGAGAACGAGACCCGCCGGCMGGGAGAGGCCGACGAACCGGGGTGCGGAACCACCGAGAACTTCCGCATGGATTGCGCCGGCTGCGGATTGTTCTCCATGTAGCAACAGCGGCGACGCAATGGGTGTGTGCGCACAGGGATGCCGAGCGGCAGGCAGGCAAGCAAGCAAGCAAGCAGGAAGGCAGCGTGTGGGTGGGTCGCAACGGCGCATGGAATGCGCTGGTGGAAAATGGTATCCGGAATGTCAGCCGAATGAGGGCATCGTCCCCCTCTAGACTGCTTCCAGGATTGTGGTGTTCGTCATATTTAAAAAAAAGAAAAAGAACTAATGATCTACTAGTTTCAAACGGAGACCACGAGAGCAATAGAAAGGATCGCTGCAATCAAAAGAGCCAATTGGATAGTCCTTAGCATATTGRCTGGATAGTCCTGCCTGGGACAACTACGATAGCACGTTTCACTTCTACTGGCTGGTTGTCTCTGTCACTCAAAGTGACAAAACAAGAAGCCTCTTGACTGGATCTCTCATTCAAACCTCCAAGTGTAGCATTCCTTTTTCTTCTTGTCTTCTACTGTTTGTAGTAGTAGGTTTCGTTTAGTAATAGTAGTAGTACTACTACTACTACTACTCGTAGCAGTACTACTAGTAGTACTGCTACTAGTAGAATTTCGTCTCATGCCCCATTGGCATGATTACTTAATCCACAAGCTAAATTGAATGGTCATAGCAAAAATCTGGGCACAGACTCAATTTTCTGGATTTGCGTCCTTGTTGTTGCAAATCTTCTTCCTGAACTAATTGATTGTCTCAAATCTTGTAATTTCTTCCTACTAGTAGTACTAGTATGATGTTCCTAAAATAAAGCTGCTAGCTACTAGTAGTAGTACTGCTATTAGTACTATTACTACTACTACACTAATGGTGCGACTGCTCTAGTACTAGTAGTAGTAGTTCATTCCGCGGAGCGCCTATCCATTTTAAAAATGCTTTTCGTTCATCGCAACAAAAAGGAATGGCCACCACTTCTGGTGCTGGTGGCTGATGGTGCTGCTGAATGGCTGCTGGACTCATGATTGAAATCATCATAGTGAATTTTTTTCGGCAAAACGACGGCGGACAGGAGGAGAATATTGAGGCTGGTAGCTACTACTATCGATACGGCATTATGATCACTGGAGGGGATGTAAGAGAGTGAGGATTTCAATAGAATGGATGAACTTGTACCGTACTGCCGAACTACAATAATAGTAAAAGTACGAAGTACTGTGAGCCTAAATCACGAGTAGATAGTGAATAAGCTCACTCTTTATTGTAAACACGTAGTTATACGGCACTAAAGAGCACACGTACATTTTGCAGGTTATCGTCATATCTTTCAATTTATCTCGAAGTTCAAATCTGCTGGGCCTTTTCCTCAGGGCAGAGGAGGTACGAGTACAAGTACTCGTTGTCGTTGTAGGTACGAAGTACTTCGGTCTCAATGACCTCGGAGAGCAAGTCTTCTGGGCCTTCAAATGTCCCTGGTACTAAAATTATCTATCTTTATCTGCTATCTCATTGGTTTGCAGCTTTCAGTGATAACCAAAGACACTATCGAACGCGACGGGAACTAATTATACTTCAGACCTAGTTTTATGTTTTTATGATAGAAKTTACCGTAAATAATGAGCCTTGTAGCAAACAATTATAGCACTCCACGATTACAGATACAAAACGAAAGTGCTTGAAGGCGTTTTCTTAYTGTCGTACAGAGCTTCGCAGTAAGTTCCTAGATATTCGAACGCAAAAWATATGGTACAAGTACCTTACTTCCAATATCATCTTCCCGTCAGCACATGCTGCATTTGTACCCGTGCCAGCAACTGAGGATATCTACGAGTTGCGTGAGTTCGCAACGAATGCATTCCATAAAACCAGACCTGACTGCACCAAATGGATGCAGGATTTGATTTAGAACAGAAACACACTCAAAACCACAGCTGCCTCTCACTTTGCGATGCATTCGACACCAACGTTGCTGCTCCTGGCACTGCTGATCGTTTCTACGAACTCGCAGTACGCTAAGCAAGAAAACGAAAAAGAACTCGTGTGCCCAACCGATTATGTCGTGACCAAGATCGATAACGATGGCACTCATGCAGTAACTGAAGAAACCGAAAACTCGAAGCAACGGACGCTTCAATTCAWAGAACACCTTCCGCTCCATGTTCTCCGGCAGGGCGGCGACTTTGTGGAGTTTCTCGTTCGCAACACAACATGGTTTGGCGGCGAAATAGAGACGGAWCACGATCAAATTCTGTTYCCCCAACACATCTTCACCAATTACGCCAGCGACTCGTTCATGTCGGAGCACTGTATCCTAGATGAGAATATGGCACCGCRTTCTTCAACCGACGTCATTAGAGCCTCCTGCATCGATACTCCCGAAGCAGGAAATATCGCCCTTGTTCGAATCTTTGCAAGATTTCCAGATGAGTCTACCACCTCTAGCCCAACTTCCATCCCCAAGTGCTGTCATGATCCCTACCCAAAAAGCGCTGCTTCTAACAAACTTTTAGAATATGTTTTCGAAATCAATTGCGACGTCTCGTGTGACGATCCAATTTATTATGAGCCAGAGGACACAGATTCTCCTATCCCTGCTCCAACTTCTCCCTCGGCGCTTCCCACCCCAGATGTCATCCCACGAACGACTTGTCTCGCAAACGATAGCACGGAGAAATCTATTTCTTCGTTGTCCCGAGACCTCGTCGTTGCGTCGCTGAAAAATGGTCCCTTTTATGGAGCCCGTCACTCCTGGGCCTGGCCTAGTGCCAACAACAAAGGATGCGGTCGGTATTCGGCCATGGGACCAGGTAMAAATGGTATGCCTTGTTTCGTTGATACACAATTGAAGAACCGTGTTCTGGCCTTCGACTCTGAGTACATGAACTTTGAGTTTTCGTTTGACGAAGGAATGACTGCCACCATGTCTCTTTCGGATAAAGCGGAAGCATCGGCAGATGCCATCGGAAAAGAGGGAAGCATTGAAATCAAKGAAGCCCCATCCATTAAACGCACAGCTRTTTCCTTCTTCCCAGCCGGAGAAGGYGGCGGCAAAGCATGCTCCCCTCCATCGGAAAAAGATGATTACAAAGGGTACCCCATTCGATTGGTGCGGAGCGGTCGCTATTTGCATCACTGGTATTTCAACAACGTCGGTTGTAACGGAGRCAGTGATACTCGAATTGAACTGAAGGTCRCCCCTGACTGGTAAGTAGTCCTCGTAGAGTACKCACGGTGCAGTAGAGTGCAGTTCATTATGYTGCTCGCAGAGCAGAGCTACGGAATGATTTGGTGTCGTCCATGGGGGAAACGGCGACTATGGATTCAACTTGTGTTAAACACAATAGCAGCTTKTGGTGATTAAARACTTCATCGTAAATATTTCGTTATGATTGTTGTCGTTGTCTCACTTTTTGYCCTCCCGCTACTATGTTGTAACATGGTAAAATGTAACTCGCTAAACACAGCGTCGAAGTATACTCTATTWSTAACAACGGTGCAGAACCTTTGTAYTGGCTCGATGCTTCTACAAAGGAAAAACTTGGATATGGCARTTCAGCCAGCAGCAATGGATTTGCCGGCGTCTCATACTGTGTAAGATGCGAAAGTGAACTCGACGGTAGCTCTGGCGGAAGTGGGAACAACGAACAAYTATCGGGGTGTGGAGTTGTGCTCACKCCGATCCCAACTGATTGTTGCCCCCTAACTSCTACAAACGGAGATGGAAGCACTCTTTGTGGAAGCGGATGGAATTACGAATCTTGCGATGCTTCTAATTCGTTGATGACWACACCAGTGACCCAGGATGTGATCGTRACATCGAAAAATGAATATCCAGTATTAGCCAGCGGGCACTCATTCGAAATTCGTGTCGATCGTCAAACAGGAAACCAACTTAGCAACGTCGCCACCGAATTYGAGGTTACCAACAATTCAGAGACATGGAAAAAAGTTAAGCTCCAGTTTCATATCGACAATCCCAGGCGTCACACAGGTGCTGCGGGTATCTTGAGAGACCCCCAAACGGAAGAGCCCACTGGCATCCACGTGCAAATGTCCAAGAATTGGCACGTTGGAGACGCACTCTACGACGGTTACTGGTGGACCGGTGTGGCCCACATTCGTGTTCCTCCAGGAACGACCATTAGTCTCGAGCTGGTTGTGGCGTATCAGTATTACAAGTCTTTACACGGTGTCTCGCACAGTCAACTATCTCTCATCGGTTGGGGGGTAAACGGATTGTGGGAAGAAGTTGGACTCGGTGCGAACGGTGAATCCATTACTTACGAGCCACATGGGCATCACCGCCGGCAAATGATCCTGGATACTCGCCCCTGGTTGGTGTGTCAGATGAACCAAGCAGRGTGCAGAGGATCTCCCGACTCTACCCAATGGACCGAAAACCACGGTGGGGGTGATTTCCTGAATGCCGTTAACAATAGGGGGATGTACCAATACCTAGTAGGCGATACATCCTACCACACYATGAATGGTCCTCGACTGACAAATGCCACTTTTGCCGGAACGACTGTCGATGGAAATATTGCTGTGTCCCGCACCGTCAGCACCTGGACGACCGATGATTTTGTCCGCCACTTGCACAGTTTCAAGTACACATTCTTGGAAGACACTGCGGGAAACAACTACCCTCGATTTGCCCTATATACTCTGGGTGGTGACAACTATAACTATATTAGGTTCCCTYTGTTCGCCTACGGCATGGGGGAAGACAGTTATGTTGATAAYAGYTTGGACGGTAGTGGGGTGCTTAGCATCAAAAGTGTCCTTWCCGGAGTCAATGACTTTCGATACCTCAACGACTACTACAGGGTGGATGCACCCATTGGATGTAGCCAAAATAATGGSGACAACGACTCGTGTTGGTTTGCCATGGTCACRGATCCAGATGCTCAGGTTCACCACCGTGGAAACCGCGGAATCATTGTCCGGAACTTTCATGGCCGGCTCAACGGGGAACCCTGGCCTCCCTCGGACCTAGTTTCGCCCTTTGCTTTTCACTTGATCAAGAGTCGACAAAACAACGCCGCCAAGGACACCGTCTCCATCGAGCTTGCCCTYCCGTCAGAATTCTTGACGGCTGTCGATAACAACGAGGCCCAGTTCCAAGCCGGAGATTACTTGACCGCCGATATCGAGCTGATGGTCCCTCCTCGTCAAAACGGAGATTACTATGGARACTCGAATGTTCTACGGRYGTGGATGAATGCGGCGGACGTGGACACAGACTACTCGAATGGTTGGAAGATCRTTGCAAAGGAAGCAGTAGCTGGAGACGCCCTACGAACAAGTGTCTTCGAGGGCAGCCTCGAACGGAAATATCCCCCTAGGGTGCACGTGGATTGCGTGACCGATGGTGCTATCTTCAACATTGCCATCCCGGACGAGATCCCCGGAATTCTACCCATTACAATTGCCGGGGTGGGTGCCTCCACGGCCTTCTCGGAAAACCTTCTCGATCGGCCTTTGGGCAAACTCTGGAGGTACATCGTCTCCCGGGGAGCCTGGGAGGAAATGGGAACGAACGGATCCTACCAGCTCGAAAAAGACGTTYTAGATAACAGCCATACCTATGTCTACAGCCTTCGTTTGGAATTCGAGAACGATCCGGTGGGAACCTGCGAGCAGTTTGCCTTTGGGGAAGCACCTCCCCTAGTGGCCAATCCTCCCTGCGAGGGTTTTATTTTTGACTAATTGTAGCGCTCATTGAAAAGAACTCGCTGTTGGCTCTATTGGATATATTGCATTTCACTCTATTTGTTAGCTACCGAGAAATTAGTTATCTCCCATACTTCTTGTAGAGTGGTTGTTAATCTGTAGTTGATCACAACCGGAGGTGAAAATCATGGCATCGTGCCGCTCCGTTTCATCATCACATTGATGCATCTCTCATTTCAAAAGAAAAAATGTTAGATTATGCAACGTGTACAGTCGTCTACCACAGTGGGTCATCTTCGCTCATTTCGACCCATGGCTTGGGCAAAGAGATCGCTTTGATGCCCGTAAAGTAGGAYACACATTTTTCTACCGATGGAGCGTCTCGAAAGGTCCTCCACCCCGGTCGGGTCACCGATGTGTTCCCGGTGTCATTGTCGCAAACAACGTCGTCACTGTCATTGCTAGGCTTCCGTATCTCTCCATCGTATTGAATTKGGTCCAAATCTCGTSYGTCGTTCACGWAGTTCGCATACATTACGTCGTAGTATTTGCTAAAGGTTTCTCCGTCCTTTTCTAGAAAGCTTACAGGATAGCCAAACCTGTTCATGACTCTACCCATTATCCGGAACATCATGGGAKWTGTTATATYAGCTTCGGATTTCTCCCACAGCTCTTCGAAAGGATCTTCGTCATTTGMGTCACTGCTCTCCTCCATTGCCTCTTCGGTGGCATCACTTATTGCCTCGGCATATTTCCAATCCATAATCTTTCGGGCTRACGGATCGTGCATGTACTCGAGATTGATCCGTATRGTCTCGTTTTCCATCTCTTCGCTGGAGGGCAAGGCGACTTGATTTGTTAGAACCTTGGCAATCATCCAGGAAGATATGTCGATTTCGAGGAGCGGTATRTGGCCATAATCCATRTGGTACATCATGCTCGGATTGTCWACCCAGAAGACGCCGTTATAAAGYTTTGTGAAACCGAAGCGCTCGTCGTCACAGGCAAAGGATAGCACCTCATTCTTGGCGGGTCGAATCTCCCGAGCAGACTCATCTCCCAGTATCCTCAGACTCACCTCGTTCGGGTTCATGGTCCAGTCTTCGGGCACGGTCACCTTGTTGAYCTCAAAGGGTTTTTCCTGCAGTTCCTCTTCGAGCATCCCCATGCTTTCGATGTAGCCAGTACAAAATATGATTGTGTCGATATTGGTAAGGACTTTTCTTTCCGGRTAGTCCGTATCGTTGCGATACTTTTGCTTCTTCACATCAAAGTAAACATATTTCAGTGAAATCGTGCTGCCGGAAACCTTGTCAATGGACGTATWCCCAAGTACCTCAACCTTGTCGTACGGCCAGCGGGTTGTATCCAAAACCTCACTGGATTCGGAGCGACAAGTGATGTACACCCTGGATACACCCTCCTTCACGGCCATGAGGGCCAAATCTTCGGCCGACAAGCCACCTCCCACCATCAAAACACGTTTCCCCTCCACGTCTTGTTTGAAATTGGCCGTGTCCGTGGAATGGACCATCCGCCCGGGAAATCCACCGCTTTCCAAAASCTGSACCGTTTGCTTGGGAACGTTCGGAACGCCGTTGACTCCCGCGGCCCACACGCACTTGTCGAAGCAGGAAACCTCTTCCYTCCCCGTTGTTTCGTCTCGCGTGCAAACCCGAAAGGTTTTCTTGCCGCTCTCGTCCTCTTGCTGCTCGACGCGGACCACGGTCGTTCGAAAGGAGAAATACTTTTCGAAAAAGTGGGGGCAGTTTCGGGTGACACGTGCCAGAAAATAATCCAGGACGTGCTTCCGGGGCAAATGGGTTGGCAGCCGAACGTTTCCAAAGTGGTCCTTGAACGTATAGTCRAAGAATTCGAATAATTCCTTYGGGGCGTTGGTCCACAACCCCGAGTACATGTTGACGGTTTTTTGGTGCGAGGGATCGGCTTGCACGTCGCCGGGGTSCAGRCCKGTCTTGACCCGTTTTGCGTCTTGCACACAGATATTCGGGTCTTCCTTCTTTTCTTCTTCGGAGTCTCGATCGCTGGCCCCGCCTTCTTYKTCGTGGTTGCGATCGGACCTCCAGACGCCTCCCGGGCCCTCCGATCGCTCGAAACAACGGACCGAAGGGAACGAGCTCACGTCCCGGCCTTCTTTCGMMAGTTCCTCCCGCTGCATCTCGAGTGCGTGGCAGAGGAAGAGGGCTCCGGGGCCCCCACCGATGACGGCCACGGTAGGCGCGGGTGGCGCTTCGGTCAACATCGCTTGTGGGTGGTTGGTACCAGGGATTTTGGCGAGGGCAACGAACGAACTGGAATCGAGTGAGATYGTTCCAAGTTTGCGAATTGTGTCGCGAAGATTGGTTGGTGTTGATACTGATACTGTCGCAAAAAAGGTGATCAATAAATACGGTGAAAAAATCGGCGGTAGAAAATGAAGAAAAACGAAAAACTCAAATTACCTTCTCGGCGCTATGGGAACGATACCGTAGTGCGTTTAGCGCACGTAGTCATCTGGAATATTCAGCGCGTTGGTTTTTTTTCAGTCAAAACAAAACCGTTGAAACTACGGTGCGGTTCTCCTCTCGCTAGACAAAATAATGGTACTAGAAATACGTATAATTTTCGGTGGCTGTTGTTGATTATTTTGTCCTTGGGTTGGAGCGCGAACAATAAACAATGCGAATCACAGCTTTTTCATTCATACTCGCACCATAGGTACCTTTTAAGGCTTTAGTTTAGTCCTCACTGTACGGTACTGATACTCCGATCGAATTGTTTCGAAAATTTTCGATGGGGGATGAAGAACCTTTGAAACGATTTCTTTACACGTAAGTGAATAATCAATAATCAGTACGAACGTTTGTGGTAGTTTCCGTTCAAGCAACGCGCACAACAGGATGATAGTACTGATAGAAAATACTTGGAGTGAGTAGTGAATCTAGTACGAACATTACGGTCGCAGTACGGTAGCTACAGTACGAGTAGGCTTCGAATATGCCTTSCGTGCTTGGGAGATATGATCGGAGTGCGCAGCTCCCATCTACTGTACTRCTTTTTACGTTCCGTCGTGTGAGTTAGGTGTGACCTTACGGTATGATACGGTACCGTAGAATATTGTAGACGTTCGGTACATCCTTCGTTGGCACGAATGCACCTTGCGTCTCCGACTGGTCACGACTTAAAGGAATCGCCAGAAATATGCGCACCTGGGGGTCGACGGGATCGCACGAAGATATTTATTTCTCTAAAACTATTGCGACACACATACTTTCTCGGAAGGAAAAACCACCGATCRTTCCAGGCTGTGAATGTTCTGCTACGGTACGAGTACGTACCACAGACTTCACTCGCACCCCTTTTTCTTCGCAGCAAACTCACAACGGCACCGGAGGTGATTTGATTCTGTACTGGACCGTACAGCTAGAGCACCATCGATCCCCTAGTTTCAAAACACGAAATCACATCGATTGCYCGACCGCCTCCGCGCTGMAATACAATGAGACCCTTTCCCGACACCATTGCCACGGCTTCCGTAGCGCCCCTTCTGTTGCTGTTGCTGGTGCAGCAGCTCCCCACCGCGGAAGCCTGCCCGGGCGGCCTGAACAACCCCGATCCCATGTCCACCGCCAACGGCCAGCCCTGCTCGTACCAGCAGCAGTGCCTCTACTACGCCGCCACGCCGGTGGTCAACTGCCGGTGCAACGCCTCGACGAGCAACCCCAACGGCAGGTTCGTCTGCAGCCCCCTCGAGTTCTTCGGGCCGACCCCGGCCCAGCCGGTTCCGCCCCCCACCCCGTACCCGACGCTCCCCCCCGTGGCGCCGACCGATGCCCCGACGGCGGCCCCCRCCACGGGCCCGCCCACCGCCGGTCCCACSKCCSGWCCCACGGCCGGACCCACGGCGAGCCCCACCACCGCCGATCCCACGGGGGCTCCCACCGCGGGACCCACGAGGGACGCCTCGTGCTCCGCGGTGTCCGCCTGCGCCGGGCTGGTGGGGAACTGCTGCCCCACCGACCAGGGAGAATTCCTCGGCTGCTGCGACGGCCTGACGTCCCCGCCGTCCGATCCGCCGGTGGTGGCTCCGACGGAAGCCCCGACGGCGGCCCCGATGGAAGCCCCGACGGAAGCCCCGACGGAAGCCCCGACGGCGGCCCCGACGAGCGCCCCGACCAAAGCCCCGACGCCCCTTCCCACCCCCCTGCCCACCGAGGATCCCACCGGGGCACCGGTGGAAGCACCGGTCGTCCCGGCGACGCCCGAGCCGACGCAGAAAGAGGCCACCTCCGAGCCCACGGCCGCCTCCCTGTCCCAGGACATTGCCGCGCTCATGGGCAATCCCTCGGGCGCGGCCCGCAGGGGCTTTGCGACGGCGCTGGGAGCGGCCGCTCTGTGCGCGGCGGCGGTCTTCTAGCGACACTGCTTGGAACCGATTGGCAAGGGAACGACACACCAACCATTTCGAGCTACCTACCACCCAAGCGATGCAATGCGATTCACATTGTTCCGCATGGACTCGGCCATTAGTTCCCGCAACGGAACTGTCTGCTCCGCAACCTCCATGCATTGGGAAATCTCCGAGCCCACTCGACGGTCCAATGGGGGGAGGAGAGGACGAATGTCCCGGTCTCGGAACATGCTTCATAACGATGATACAACAATAGTGCGATATAATACAATAGAACTAAAAACACAGGGACGATCCCAACCAACACGAAAACGAATGAAAAAATCACTTCTTTATAGTACTGTAGTGTTGTCTTACATTGCAAAAGATCGTTTGGAATTGTCAAAAGCTTTTAGAGATGGTATAAGTCGGTGTTGTATTGCGGCTTTTGTCAGAGCGTCGAAATGGGCTCGTGCCACTTACGGCAGCAAATGAACTCAACATTCATAACAGAATCCACTATGCGTACCAATACCTCCGCTATGGCACGATCCGTGATACAAATTCTGATATCCTTTTGTCTAGCTAAACGTGGGTACTATTGGGAAGACATGCATTAGAAATGATGGCATGTTCCTTATTTGCTTACATCGTGTGAATTAGGTCTGGTTGCAATACGATATCATGGTGTGGGGCAACGAAAGCAAGCAAATCTCGGCCGCATTTCCCTTCCGGCTCCCGATGCGTCGTGGCTAGTGCGGATCCTTCGGCAGAACGCCCGTTTCGAAGGCCCTTCCGGCTTCCTTGGCGGTGGTCTCCAGAGCCCCGCCCACGGCCTCCGCGGCTCCACTGACGGCCTGCTGTACCTGTCCGGCCACCTGCTGCTGGGCCTGTTGGACCTGCCCGGCAACCTGCTGCTGGGCCTGCTGTACCTGTCCGGCCACCTGCTGCTGGGCCTGCTGTACCTGTCCGGCCACCTGCTGCTGGGCCCCCTGGACCGTCGAGGCGACCTGGTCGACGTAGGGGGCGGCGGCCTGCTGTACCTGCCCGGCMACCTGCTGCTGGGCCTGCTGTACCTGCCCGATCACCTGTTCCTGGGCCTGCTGTACCTGCCCGATCACCTGTTCCTGGGCCCCCTGGACGGTGGAGGCGACCTGGTCGACGTAGGGGGCCGCTGCCTCGTTGACGGTCCGGGCCGTCTCCTCGATCACGGGGGCCGCAACCTCGGCCACCCTGCTGGCCGTCTCCTGGAGCACGGGCGTCGCCACCTCGGCCACCCGTTCGGCCGTCTCCTGGAGCACGGGCGTCGCCGCCTCGATGGCGCCCCCGATGGCGGGCGCCGCCGTTTCGTAGGCCGCCTTTCCGGCGGATCCCACCGCGGGGAGGACCACCTTCAGGACCCCGTAGGTCCCCTTGAGGACCGAGAGGCCGGCGGCAGGGATCTGCCCGGCGAGCTTCCAAACGTCCAGGGCCGACGCCGCCTGCTGCGCGAGGCCCGCGGCGGTGGTGGCCACGAGGTAGGTGGCCACGGCCCCGGTGGCCAGCAGAGCGACCTGGAACTTGAGGCGCTCCAGGGCCTCGTCGATCTCCGGTGCGTCGCTACCGGAGGGTGGTTCTTGTGGTTCTTCTTCTCCGGGGGGTGCCTTCGTCTCGGCGTCGCCGGTGGCTGTTTCCGATGCCACGGGAGGTCCCGGCTCGGGGAAAGCGGGAGCTTCCGGGATTCCGCCGGTGCTGCCGGTTGGCGGTGCCGGAGAATCCGGCTCGGCAAGGGGCGACGGCGGCGCCATGCGGAGTCCGGGGAGGCCCGTGGCAGAGGGTTGGGGAATCCGGTATCGTCTCCGGGCACCAAAGGCCGCCCTTCCCGCCATGGGACCGGTGCCAACGTAGGCGTTCGCCACCGATCCACCGGCGAGCACGGCCGCGAGGGCGACCGCCGCTGCGGCCCGATCGGGGTTCTTGCCCGATCTTCTCCGGAGACGGGTCATTTCCGTCGTTGCCGCTGCGCTTCTCGGTGTGGCGTTGCGAGGCATGGGTTGTGTTTTCTTCCGGGTGTTGAACAGCGGGTGCGCTTTGGGACTGTAGTGTGTCGGTGGCAATGGGTGTGGGTGTGGATCACGCACGAGCTGGGTTTTCGAAACCAGTATTGTTTCGGTGTACCTTGTGTCAGGAATGGAGTGTAGGAATTCGATTCTCGATGTGAAACTATTTTCGGTATTTGTTTGCACATGGTGCTACAAGCTACAAGTACAGTACGAACGTACCTGTACTCGTGCTCGTTGGTTGTTGAAAGTGTATCTTAAATTTTCGTCGGGAACCCCGCCTTTCCCCGGCCGTTGTCGTGCCAGCGGCTTCCGTTTTCGGATTTAAATCCGAGCCGTCGTTCTCTTTTTCGACTGCTTCGAATAAATTTTACGACTCGCCCCCCCGGTATGTTGCGGGACTAGCAAGTTCCAACCACCGCACCAACGCGATTTCGTGACGTGAAACGACAAGACACGTAAGAAAATTCTTGCTGAAAATCTACGGCGATTTTGTTTTTTCGAAAAGCTAGAGAATTCGACGATTCCTTCCCGGGCCCGTTTCGGGAGAGATTTTTGGTTCACGGCCGAAGGACAACCTGTTCAACATTCCGTAGAGCAGCATTGTATCTCCAGCAGCGGGAGCGACCATTGTTCGAGCAGTGTACCGTACCGTGAATCCATCGATGAAGTTCTGCGCTTCACTCCTAGCGGCAGCGGTCCTGGTCTCCAGCGGCGAGTCCTTTCTTCCGGTGACGACCCCCACAAAACACACCAGCAACAATAACAAAAGCATCGGCAGCAACCGCATCGACAGCAACCGCAACCGCAACAGCATCAACATCATCCAACGCACCAATCTCCCTCCCCTCAAGAGCAACAACGACGACATGGTAGACGCCCAGGAACGAGAAGCCCGCAAGATCTGCCCCCTCATCCCCATTCCCGAGGACCCCACCGCCACCTTCGAGGCGGCCATGGGCTGATTCTGGGGTCCTCAGCGCGATTTCGATCGCGAGGAGGGCGTCACCGAAACCGTCGTCGGCTACTCGGGGAGTACCTCCCGGGACACGGAGACCCCCGCGGACCAGAACCCGACCTACCGCAACGTCCAGGACTACGCCGAGTCCATCCGGGTCACCTACAACAAGGACAAGTGGACCTACGAGCAGATGCTCGACTACTTTTTTGCGGTCCACACCCCGGCGGACCCCCGCTGGGCGGGGACCCAGTACCGGTCGGCCATTTTCTACCACACCGAGGACCAGAAACAAATGGCCGAGGCGGCCTGCAAGAAGCGCGGGGCGCTCGGGAAGTACGTGTCGGTCGAGAAGGCCTCGGATTTTTACCGGGGGGAGGAATACCACCAGAAATACGTGGAAAAACAGGTCTCCGGTGCGTATTATTAGATTCGGGTCGGAACCGAACGCGCCACCGAATCGAACACACGAACCGGCCCGCAAAGGATGCCATCGAATGAGTCCCTTGGAATCGAGCAGGATGTTTCGAGAGCGAGACAAGAGAGACAACAACAAAACAAAGCCCCCATCAAATCGCGAAGAATGGATGGTTTTCGAATGACGATTCTGTCGAAAGGGAAGAGATCCCCCCGTTCCTACAGAGTTTGAGAAGAAAAACATTCATCCCCCATCCGGTTTCTTTGGACCTTTGGGTTTTTCGGTATATCTTTTGAAACATCGTTCTTTGACGGACGTAATCGCTAATCGCTCCGTTACTCATAAGCTAAAATTCACTACACATCTTTTTTATACAGAAATCACGCAGAGATCGTCAAACAGATGATCTTGAGACGATGCAAGTTTTCATTTTTAGCAAGAAAAACATGCCGTGTGCACAAAAGAGGGTCAAGACATAGATGCGATAGTTCGTCCTTTTCTTATGGAGTCTCGCTCGAGAATTCTGCTCCCACCCAAGGTCGTGTTTKTTGTTGTTGTTGTTGTACTCGAACAAACAAATATGTATGCGCAGATGACCATATTCTTAGCCCCAATCGATTGCTGCGATACAGCACACATCCACCATACCCTTTGGCGAAACCACATAGTCAAGACGAGAGACTAGTTTTTAATCCTTTTGTTCCACTAGTTAGCTAGCTAGCTAGCTAGCTAGGTCTCTTGCGCCGCACCGAGGCCCTCCCTGGGGTGCCCTTGTTGCTTTTGCTTCCGCCGAACATCCCCGCGCACCACCGCCGCTTCCAGAACGGACGGGTTCCGCCGGAGGACCTCGTAGGCCGTCGTCAGCCTCGATCGCTCCGATTCCGCGGCCTCCGCCTCGAGGGCCCGGTCCCGGTCGATCCGCCGGACGCAAAGGGCCCCGCCCCTCCAAGCGTCGGAAGCAGAAGCATACCAAGACGACGACGCAGACGCAGACGACGACGACGACCATCGCTGGTGCTCTTGCGATCTTGCCGGGAGGCCCCCCAGGCAAAAGGCCGGGAGTCCCGTGGACGGATCGGGGAGGCCCGCCGCGGCCGGAAAGGCCCCAAAGATCGGCCTTGCGGCCCCCTCCCAGGGGCACCCCAGGGCCACCGCCGAGTGCAGGGGGAGCCGGCCCCCCAGGGCAAGATCGGGGAGGCCCGCGGACCCCTCGTGGGTGGAACAGAGGACCGGGAGGATCCCGGGGTCGGCCCTCGGGGGAGGGGGGCCCTGCCGGGACCGGATCCAGGCGTGCAGGAGGGGGACCGGCGGCGAACGCGAACGCGAACACGGGGATTCGCCCTGCGGGAAGAGCGCCAGCGCGAGCCTCCCCACGAGCTCCGGGCAAAAGGGCAGGGTGGCGAGGAGGCGGACGCACTTTGCCACCGGGGGGGGCCGGTCGGACAGCGCCAGCGAGGCGAAGGCACCCTGCCACCGGCGGTGGTCGTTTTCGTCGTTTTCCTTGCCGGTCGCTGGGGGCCCGCGGTGTGGCTCGGCCTCGGCGCAGGCCGAGAGCAGGGCCTCCAGTTTTCTCCAAAAGCCCAGGACCAGCAGCACGCTTTCGTCGTCGTTTTCGTTTTCGTTGTCGTCGTTTTCGTCGTCGTCGTCGCCAGTGCCGGCGGTTCTAGGGGCATCGCCTCGGCCTTGGCCTTGCGCGTGCGGTGGGTCTCTACCGCGGCTCTGGCTGGTTTCCGCCTCGGGGGCTTTTGCTCCGGCCACCACGAGCTTCCTCAACGCGGAGAGGCCGCTCCGACCGTCTTTGACCAGGAGCCGCTCGATGGCGGTCCGGAGCCGGAAGGACGTCTCGCGCCTGCTCCGCTTGAACCACGGCGCGGGGTGGAGGGCGGCCCGGAAGAAGAGGTCCAGAACCGTCTGCCCCGTGTCGGTGTGCCTCTTCCAGAGCTCGCAGGGGCGGTGGACCGGTGGGGCTTCCGCTTTTCCGGTGGTCGAGCGTTCGCGTTCGCGTTCCGGGGCGATCCTTTGCACCCTCAGGATCCACCTCCACCACTTCAGCGGCATCTCCGTGCACCCGGTGGCGGCCACGTGCATGGGGGTCCATCCCCTCGAGTTGGCCTCCCATAGCGGGTTGCCGGTTTGTGGGTTTGGTGTTGTTGTTGTTGTTGCTGCTGTTTCTGTTGCTGCCGCTGCCGCTGTGTCTGTCTTTGCATCCGTCTTTGCTGCTCGTGTCCGCTCGCGGTCGTTCCTCGGCCCCCGCTCCGAGAGGACGGCCTCCCCCAGGAGCTCCGGGAGCTCGTGGTACCGCCGGTCCCGGATCGCCTTGGAGAGGGAGGCCGAGGAGGACACCGCCGAGCTCCGGTAGTCCACGGTCCGAAGGGTTCTCATGGCCGGAGAGCGGTGCCGGTGCTTTTGCTTCTGCCCTGGCTGGTTTCTGCTCCTGCCGGTGGATTCCCTCGTGCTCTGGGACGTCGCGTGTCCTGCTCCGCTCTTCTTTCGCGTCGCGGTCTTCTGGGTGGGCGCTTCGCTTCGACAAGGCAGCGATTCGCGTTGTGGGTTTGGTGGTCTGTCTTTTGGTTCGATAGCGGTAKAACAAGCAACACTGCTTGGAAGAGTGCGCACGGTACYTGTACCCGGACCAGCAAGACAGGCAGCGGCGTCCCTCGGTCCGCGTCTTCGGTCGATCGCATACCGTTTGCAGTCTGCATACCGTACTACCTGGTACCGTACTACCGTACGGAGAAGAAAGAATCGTTTCTTCTGACAKAGGTTTTTTGAAAAAAAAAACAGAAGCGAAGATCGCGTCGACGGCGTGTCGCCCATCAACCTGTTGCCGATGGCAGATGGTGGCCCTTCGCATCGCACAACGGGATCGATCTTCATTCCTTCATTCCTTCCTTCGAAAAACACATGCCCCCGGTTCCGTCCTACGGTAGAACATWGCGTATGTACCAACAGTACCATTTCGCCAACGGTTCGCGCTACGGTAGGTAGGTTCACCACGATTGATTCGMCACAAAACGCGAGGAGATCGGTCAATCTTAGTCGTTTGGGTCGAGTGAATCAGTGAGTCACTCCGTCCTTCGATGATAGAAGTCGAGTGAGTCAGAACCAGAGTTGTTAGTCAATGGAGTCGGTCCAGGGAAAACAACAGACTGACTCGACTCGACTCGTCCCGGTTTGTGCGGGACACGATCTTTTCGTGTGGGCGTTTGCTGGTGCCAAAAAAGGATTCATTCGCTCGTTGATAGAGTTGCGTGTGTGTGTGTTTGTGTTTTTTTTTTCCAATTTTTGAAAACAACACAAAACCGGTTACATTCCGCAAGGTGCTGGGAAAGACAAGAGAATCCCCCCAAGGAAACCGCATTTCTTCCCGAAAACACAAACACGAAAACCAGCACTTGCTATTGCTACAAACACCACAGCACAGCACAGCACAGCACAGCACAGCACAGCACAGCACAGCACAGCACAGCACAGCACAGCACAGCACAGCACAGCACAGCACAGCACACCTCACCTCACCACGATGGTGCACCCGGCGACGACGGCACAGAGGTCCGTATGCCTCGTGTTTCTGGTCCTGGCATCCGCGTCGTCGCTTTCCCCGGCTTTGGTTTCTTATCCGTTTCCGGTCCCCGGGGCGTTATCGATCCGGTCGTCCCCGGGAGGCTCCACCCTGCTGGGAATGCAGAGCGGCAGTGGTGGTGGTGGCAGTTGTATTCCAGGCAGCCTCGGCGACGGCACCATCGACACACCCACCAACGACGACGGCAACGGCAACGACGACGGCAACGGCAACGACGACAACCAACCCGGCAGAGATCCGAGCGAGCCCAACGGCCCCCCCGCGGCGACGCACGTGGTGCTGGTCCTGGGCGGATCGGGATACACCGGACGCAGGGTCTGCAGGGAACTGGTGCGATCGATGGGGGACCTTCGGGGCAGCGGCGGTGGGGACCCCGTCTCGGCGGTGGTTTCGGTGTCCCGGTCCGGGAGGCCAAACGGCGGAAGCAGCAGCATTAGCAGCAGCAAACGCTGGGAGGAGGAGGTGGACTGGATCGCGGAARACTTGCTGGGCGGCGGGGCGGGAGACGACGGCCCGGAACAACTGCTTGAACAGCTGCGGGGGGTTCTCGGCAGGGTCCGGGAAAAGGGCGGCAACCMYGGCGGGTCCCCTTCTTCGGAACTCTTCGACCTCACGGTGGTCGGCTGCATCGGCAACGCCAATCCCTCGCCGGAGTGGACCGGCCTGTGGGGCCTGGGCTTTGACAACGAGCGGCTCCTCRAGGAGAACGGGGGGGTCTACGAGGCCTTTTGCGCAAAGACCCTCGGGCCCCTCCTGGGGGGAGCCGGGGGGGAGCCGCTKGTCCGGCTGCGCCGGTGCGTCCTCCTCTCCCTCGGCTACGAGGCCCAAAAGTGCCTCGAGGGACCCCTGGAGGGCTTTGTGGAGGGGAAGCGCCTCGCGGAAAGGGGCTTTCTAGAGGCGCTARGGGACGAAACAAAAGGCCGGGCCCTTGCTTCGATCCCTCCCGAGGAAAACATGGTCGTCCTCGGGCTGCCCTATSTGGTGTACGGGGGCCGGCGGTTTCCGCGGCTTGGCGCCCTCTACCGCTGGTTGGTCGAGTCGGCCCCCGCCCGGGCCTACGTGGGGGCCAACCGGGCCCTGCGGTCCCTGTCCAAGACCACTACGGAGGACTGGCTGGAATCGATGGTGCGTCTTTTTGTTGTGGAATGTCGYTGGAACTACAWTGGTTGCGTTGCGTTGTGTGTTGAGTGTTTTGTGTGTTATGTAATTCTTATCGTCTACCGGGATTGTTTCGGTCGTTTCCGACACGCTTCTTGCTTCTCACTCTCTTTCTCTCWCTCTCTCTCCAGGTGTTTTCGTCGCCGATCGATGTCGATGCGGTGGGAGAGATTGCGGCCATGGCCGCGAGGGGACTCGTCACCCGGCCCATCGTCAACGACGGACAGCCGCGGAAGCAGGACTTTTTYGACACCTCCGGGCAGCCGATCGAGTACGAAAACGTTCTCTTTCTGGACGGGACCCACGCCATCGAGGCCGCGATCGAYCACCTAAGGGTCTCCCGCGGGCCGCAAAGGCGGGAAATCCGCGAGAGGAACGGCGAGAACCCATCGCTGGCAAAAGCGCTGCCCCGGTGGGAAGGAGCGCTGGTCGGGAAACGGCCGTATCTGTTCCCGGTTCCCGTTGTGGCTTTCTTTGCGTCGTTCTTCTGGGCCGTGGTCACGGAACAATTCGTGCAACCCCCRGCGTAACACTTAAAAAAGGGATGGATTCATTTGAGTTGTACTTGCACTTGTCGTAGAACCGAGACCGGTGTGGAGCAATAATAATGTGATGCTCTGCTCCGATTCCGGAACCGATCGCTGGGTGCCTCCACGAAGAGGCACTCCGGAAAAAGACTATTCAAACTCGTAGGCCGAGTCACGAATCGGCGCGATTCCCCCCACAAATGTTGGCAGATCCTTCAGCGAAATGTGAGTGATCAGGTCGGCAGTTTTGTTGACGAAACGAATCTTGCCCATTGCTTGTTTCCAGTCGTCTATACCGGCCTCGATGAGCAGCCTCTTTGCCATAGCTCTTCCCGACATTGCGTCCCGGTAATAATGGTTTTTCCCCCTTCCCTTSACCACTAAGACTCCCGAGAGACGACCGGGGTAGTGGCGGATCAACTGCGGAAAGATTCTTTGGATCATTTCCATGTTGGTGTGGCACATCCATTTTTCTTCGGTTGAAATCCGTGGATTCCCGGAATGGACTTTGATTTCCTCCTCGCTCGGGATGTCCAACACCATCGTTCCCGCGGAAATGTTGCGTTCATCGATAATCATGTCGTCTTCGGCATCGGCTTCGTTGACCGATTCCAGGATCAGAGTCTCTGCATCTTTTTTCTTTCTCGCACCCCGTTTCGCATGGCCCATTAGAATCACCAAGGTCACCCGTGTGCTTGGATTGCTTTTGCAGAGTTCGCGAAGCCTCTTGTCAAATCGATACAGAATTGATTTTATAGCTGCATCGATGTCTCCCCGCCACGGTCCACGACACAGATTTCGAAAGTAAAAGACTGGGTTGTTCTTCCTGTCGTATCCTTGCTGGAAGAGCTGTCCGTTTTGCAACTCGATGCGACAACTCCGCTTGTCGATCGGAAACGTCTTCCCTCTCCATGCTGCGGTCTCCACAAGCCGCCTGGAAGCTARCTTCAGGTCATAGTCGGAATGGAAAATGTAGCGCTGAATGTCGCTCCGATCAAAGAGTCTAAGAACGGGAATCCTACTCATTACCACGAGGCCTGTTTCTTCGGTTTCATCGTGCCATCTGGTCGAATCCGTTGGATCAAAGTGCTCTGGTTTGTGCCGGAATGGCACCCTCACTGAACGCAGAATGTCGATGACCAAATCGGTGGCTTTTTCGCGATAGTCCAATTCTGCATTGCCCCTTAATAAATGTTCTGGAATTTCGTCGAAAAATCCGCGCTCGTCCTCCTCTGAAATGGCTTGCAGAGAACCTTTCTTTTTCTTATTCGTTGAGAAAACATTAAAACCAGATTCACCGAATCGTAACACTGATTCAAATGCTTTTCGAAATAAGAGAGGAGAAAAGGGTTTTGATCGCTGCAGGATTGGGCGTGACGATTTTGGTTCGTCTTCTTCAGTTTCTTCAACAATTGAAAGATGCACTCGGGGATCTTGTGCGACCTTGACGGGATCGACGTGAACAAATCGAAGAGTAGACAAGGCTCTTTCTGGAAGCTCATCGTTCTGCGTCCCCTCGATTACATAAGTATAATCAATGGTGCTGGTGGTCATCTCTTGCTGGAGCTTATCGAAAAGCATTTTGCCAAAGACTCGTTCTTGATACGATGTTGCAACACATTTTGTCACCCCAATATAATTCTTCGGCTTATCGGTACCCTTTTGCAGTGATCCACCAAAGTGATATGTTCGAAACAGTCCTCCAGCTCTGACTCCTGGAAATCCATATCGATCGTCTGCTGAAAGATTCATAGGAGAATCTCTACCAGTGTCCGTCAACCGAAAGTAGAGCGACACAAGCTTGAGAAAGAGCCATCCAAAAAAAGTAAGATCGGCACCATTCCCCAACTGAAACATAAGGTACAATTTTTCTTTACGACTTTTCTCTGATGAATTTGAAAATCGTTCAATCTTTCCCCGTGTGGCAGCAAGAGATATGTGAGACTTAATTCGAATGAAAAAACATTAGCGATACGCAGAAAAATGCCACCAATCATGCTACTTACAACATTGTCGAATTGGGGATCGATGCCCTTCGGCAAAGACCGAACAAATAAACTGATCATTACTACATTGTTGGTAGCATTGCTGGTGCAATCCACGAAAAAGTCAAGGTCTGGGTTGTTTACAATGATATGTTTCAGCGATGGAAACATTTCCACTGGATCGCGGGAAGGATGAAGAGCGCCACCTTTCCATAGCATGTCGTTGCTCGCCTTGAAGTAATGCGTGGTGACGTATGTGTATGCTTGGTAGGGACTCATGACCAGGTGTTTCTCGGAATTTTCTTCCTCCCCCAAACTGCTGCTATCATCATTACCGACGCCATCCTGCTTCCCAGCTTCGCTCTCTTCGTTTACACCACGTCCATTCTTTTCCTCGTCGCTCAATAAGTAATCAAAAGGTCTTACGTGACACATTACATCCCTCGAGACGGAGGCCTCGTAGATTTCGTTCTTGGCGGCAATATCCCTCAAATTATTGTTTGCGTTCCCATCGTAGGCAAACCGTTTCGTAAGTTCCTCACCTCCAAAGTCGCCAAGGCTGGCCCCCGATACTTCGAGGGCAGAACTGATAAAGTTTTGTGAAACATTTTGCTCGAGATCCCAACCCTTGTTGGCCACACGTCTGGCCCGGGCGTAGGATCGGACAAGGACCGAAGCCCGTGCAACGCGCTTTCTCCATCGCAGAAGTTGTTCCATACGCCCGCGGTTGTTCGTATCGCCCTCGGGGACAGCTGTTTCCGGTAGGGTGGGAACAAACAACCGAAAGAAATCCACTGGTCCTAAGAGCAATCGCTTTTTAATGTATTCTTCCTTTAGTAGGCTCAAGTCGGCATCGGAGACTTTTTCGCTATCGAGCGCAATCTTGGACTTTTCCTTGGCATTCTTTGGAGATTTCCTTTCCCTTGTGATATTCTTCTGCTCTTGCTCTTTCTCTTTGGTCTCTTTCGCCCGCTTGCTCTTGTCTTTGATTTGAAAGGATGATGAAATCTCRTTCGGACGTCGGTGTGAGAGCCACAATCTTTCCAGAGCGATACGAACGGTCGGGATGCTACTCATTGCTCGCATCGCATCATCCCATGCAACACACTGGGTGGCTTCTACTGATTTAGTGGTAGACTTTTTATTTCCCTTTTTGTCGCCATTCTCATTTTCTTCGGAACCATCGCTCCCCCGATGATTGTCGTGYAGTACCAATTCCTGCCCGCTATAAGCGAGACTCCCCTGGTGAACAAGATTGAGAGCCTCGAATATTTGCTTGAGTGACTGCCCCAAAATCTGGAAGGCCAAGAAGTCCAACTGAAATTGGGCAGCAGCATGGGCTGATTCAGACGTGTGCTCCTTCCAGTGCTCTGCATTGTGTTGTGGCGTCCCCTTTCTGTATATCCAAAAAGCTCCGCCCTCGAGAGGAGTCTTGAATTTCAATGAAATGGAGTCAATGTCCTCGTACACGACGTCCCATTTTCCATTTTGACTCACGCTAGTGGAGGGCTCGACCACGGTAAGAGTATTCTTGAGTAAGTCTAGCTTGAGTACACGCTTGAGGGGTAAGTCGTTTTCGGCAGAGAATATCTTTCGCGCTACCACTTCAAGGGGGAGAGGCGGAACAAGGGTCGATCCACAATGTAGCAATGGTTGGAAGGGTCCGTGGTATGTAACCTTATGAGACAAGGTCACCACCCCAAACTCGTCGTATAAATATCTTGTTTCATCTTCATCGTTGCTGTCGATTGAGTCTTGGTCTCCGTATTTGTCATCCCCAYTGTAGTAATGGCGTTCCGCCTGTACACTCTTAAATCCACCATCGCGTCTTGGCTGTTGTCGCCCTTCTTCCCATGTGTTGACAGTATCGTTTAGAGGTTCCTCGGTAGAGACTTGTCGTCTCGTGTGTGGATATATTTTGCTGCCCGAGTCATAGCTTGCACTTCTAGCCGTTCGGGGTGTCGAGGGGGTAGGCTGGCCGTTCTTCCCGGGAGCGAAAAAGACGTCCATGCTTCCCAGTCGTTCTTTTTTGAATCTGGGGGTCTGCGCCTTTTTTGTTTTAGCGATRTTACTGCTGTTGCTACTACCTTGTGTTGCAAAGCGTGTCGCTAAGCTCCCAAAGCCTTGTAGAAACCCGCCTACGGTGTCTCCCAGGCTTCCCGAGCTGTTACTACGCGGCCGTATCATTGCTGGATTACCGAAGCTCTCGGTGGAACTGGTGCGCTTCCTCGGAGCTGGAGAGCCAAAGTTGTGATCACCTGAGGATCTGCTCCGTCCGCGATTTCGATTGTACTTGTCTTGGCTACCTGCCCGTCGTTTTTTTTTCGACGGAGACCGTTTCTTTGGAGACGCCGCAAACTTGTTGATACCAAAGAAATCAAACCCGAAGCGTCCGAACCCCCTGCGCCGCATACTGCTAGTGATCGATTCGTCGTCCAAGTACTCCTCGTCCCTTAAATCTCCGTGGGCTCCATAAACCAAAGTGGTCCGGCCGTGCAAGATCTCTGCCTGCCCTTCTTTGACTCTCAGCTTTCGTCGTTTGCGCCGATTGTGTTTCCTTAGACTACGGCAGTAACTTCGCCACAGCTTCCGCAGCAATAAGACCCACCCAAGAGCCACCAGGACAACGGCTAGCGCGATCGATCCCTGCATCTCAAGAGGTAAGTTTTCAAAGGAATGACGCGCATCTTCAAGCAGAGGGGGCAGGAGTGCGAGTCGGAATCGGGTCAACTCCAACGTTCTTTCGAGCCATTCGTCTGAAGCCTCGAAGATCTCGGAGCACCTATTGGACACGGAACGCTTATGTTCGTGCCACGAATCAGGGATCTTGTTGTACAGAATCAAAGCACGATCGGCAAGAGAATCCTGGGCTTCCTGGTACCATTTCAGTAGCTGTTTCTGGGCCTCCTTCCCMTGATGGTCGATAGCAACGAGTGTTGCAGTCCAGAGTTCAGAGAGGTATTGAAGAAGGATTCGAAAGAGTTCGATTACCAACTCCTTGACCCGCTCCTCGGGAAAGTCGAGGGGATCATCTTTCTCGTTCCTGGTCCTTCTCGCACGCATTTTTTTAGATCAGTAACGATCTCTTCGTTGACGTTGCTTACCGCGTTATTCGGTTCTTTAACTCATATACTTAGAACAGCACTTACGAATTGCCAAAACTCGACGTCTTCTTTTCTAACTCTGTTTTTTGCCGATGTAGTATCTTGCTCTCTCTTCGATCGCTCTTGGTTGGATTTACGTCCGGAGGTTATCGGAGTGGGGCGAAAGGAGGGGTAATGATGGATGARTCTGCTACTATCATCTAGTACTCGTACAATTACGAGTACCTGGTACTTGGGTACCAAGCGTTGATGATCTTCTACCGTATTCAAAGCTTCTTCAAATCTTCTCTGTTTGAAAAAAGACTTTTGATTGACATTTAAGCATTTATTGAAAAATAAAACGTACGTGGTGGTACATCAGGCAATATTGATTTGTTAGAGTATTGTCATAAGTACGAGTACTAGTGCCTAATGCTGTTCGGAAAAAAGTTCGGAATGGGTCATTCCCGTTAGTCTAGAAAGTCTAAATATTGATAGACAGACAGACCAAATTTAGACTTTCTAGTCCGAATTTTTAGACTTTCTGTAAGCCCCCCCCCCCCGCCTCTCAGAAAGTCTAAATCTAGACTGGAATCCAAGAATCAAAATCCGTTGTAGGACTCAACTGAAAAGACCCGCCAAATTTTTAAGAATTTTTACTACGTTACTAAATCTTTTAAGAATAATCTTTCCTTAAGAATGAATAAGAAAGCGCCGGCGCCATGGAAGAAAGACATAAAAGATGGTGTCCCCTGTCTTAGTCACTGCTCTATACATTAGGCTGAAACAAAGAGAGGCGCAACTGCAGGAGGCCGTCTATGAAGCAACGCGAGGGGACAACATCCCTCACACAATATTCATTCCGAGGATGTCGACTCGTACTGGTCCTTATGCAACCATTCCTCCATGTAATGGGGCACGCTTTCCTCCAGCAGCTGCACCAGCACCAGCTGTCCCTCGTCCCCCGGGAGGTCAATCAAAAGCAGAGGGGACAGGCCGTAAGGCCGGTACTGCAAACTACACAGAAAAGGAGCTCATCTCATTGATGACCCTCATCAAGGAGATCCTCCCCATTGGAAAGACTGATTGGGATATGGTGGTTCACAGACATGGACATGACTGGCCCTATGGTAGGAGCAAGGAATCCATTAAGCTCAAGTTCAATAGATTGAGGAGGCAGAAGGCCCCGACTGGAAACCCAAATATTCCAGAGTCGGTCCGGCTTGCAAGAGAGGCCCATCACTTGATCGGGATCAAGGCAGTGGCGATGGCGCTCACCAGTAACAAGCGCCCACGCACTGGTGAATCCCATGGTGAAAGCAACTAATTTCGATCTTGTCGTAAGCAATGATTAACAACGATTACACGATTACGATTACGATTCAGTACTAAACAGCAATAAGCAAAATAATGAGCAAGGCAGTGAGCTCAATGATTAGTTCTTTCCAACGCGGTACACCGTGTTATTTCAAATTTTCGCCTTTGTGGTTTTTGTGCATACCCTTCGTGGGAATCGTTGAAATCAGAATATACCGCGTTGAAGATATTCAATCCGGCGTGTCCATGTATTATGAAATGAAGATAAGGTATGCAAACAATGCATGTGCATGCCGATCAACAATGAAAGCGAACCCCGGCAATGCATGTGCATGCCGATCAACAATGAAAGCGAGCCCCAGCAATGCATGTGATTTGAAAGCGAACCCCCGTTCGTGGGATTGCAACGCACGTGCTAAGTGGTATTTCTAATCCCGTTTCATCGGTACTATAGCCAAAATAGAGAACAACACGGTGTAATGCGTAACAGCAAGAAGCTGTTGGTCTAGTATCGAGTATCGATGCTGTCACTATTTCACGTTAAACTGCTGCTAATACTCACGATTCCTCGTCAAGAACTAAACAGAGCTCAACGAAACTAACCAACCCTCCCCCACCACCATGGTGGATGATAGTATTACTGTAAGTGTGGGCGTCGATGCTGCGGTGTGTTGAATCGTTGTTGCGTTGTGTTGTTGTTGCCGCGTTTGTGATTCGCATTTGTGTTGCCGCGTTTCCGTTTGTGTTGCCGCGTTTGCGTTTCGCGTTTGATTTGCGTTTTCTTTCAATCAATCCTTAATGAATCTAATGAACTGTTGTTCTTGACCATGGGAATTATTCAAAGAATGCATTGTTTCCAACTGGAGACAAGGTCCTCCCTGCATGGAAGTATCCAGGAGCAAGATCCTGAAGTTCATGCGGCTTGTCCATCGCCTCGCGTGTCGCTGCCGGTGTCTTCATGAAGACTGTCAAGATCTGATTATGCCCAATGGTACTGCATTG